ACACACTCACTCACTCACTCACTCACTCACTCACTCACTCACTCACTCACATTATGGAATGTGTGTTGTGACAGCTATGGTGTTCCACAAGTGTGTGTGTGTGTCACTCCAGTTAGCTATTACTTAAACAAATACTGTACAAACACACACAAACAGCAGGGTTTGGTATTGGTGACAGAGAAACAAAATAATATGTTTAGCGAGCTGTTTAGAGAGAAAACTGTGTGGTGGGGTAGGGGTTGCCATAGAGAGTGTGTATATTCATTTATGCGTGTGTGTGGGCATATGTTGTGTGTCTCTCCAAGAAGGCAGAAGGCCACACTAACAAAAAAAAACAACAGCAGCAACAACAAAATAAACACTAAAATAACAAACTTCATTCAAATGCTCTAAATTTAAAATAAGTTTCATAATTAAATCTACATACAGATGTAGTTACTAATTGACATTACAAATTAGAGACTAAATGATTAACCGTAAAAAAAAAAGCTATCACGTCTGATGTGAAACAGTAAAACGTTGTTGTCCGAGTTGTTCGTTTTTTGGCCTGTAACTGTGGTTGGAACATGAGCTGAAAGTCCTGCGGCTGCATGTGTTTTCAACTTCACATTTTTCTACTTAACTTCTGGCACTGGGAATTATCATTCTGTCAAACTAAAGAACCCTCCCTTCCCTCTGTCTCTCTCTCTCTCTCTCTCTCATAAACACCCCCTCTGTCCTGGAATCTGGCACATTATAAATGTGTTTGTCCTGTGTGGATTGTACATACCGTGTCTGGCAGAGTTAGCGGTGGGCGGGAATGCTTCGTTCTGTCAGAGTAAATCCTGGACTGTACCGTCCTCACAAAGAAAAACATCTCCAAAGTTTTAGCCAGAAGGGAAATGCTACATCTGGCAAGGGTCTAGTTATTAGCAGTGTTTGCTAAGGCAAGCATCAGTATTTTTATTTGAGTAAGGGATTTGAAGAATTATCTTGTGCTTGTGTAAATCATTATTTAGCATTGCACCAGTGACAGAGAACTGGAAGTGTTCAGTGTGCTGAGATTTTTTTATATAAATAAAAACCTATTTAAAAGCTTTATTCCTTCTGAAAGCAAAAGTGTGCATTTATGTGTAAATGTTTCATGTTTAGTATGTCTGAAAAGGGGCTTCAGTGGTTTAAAATTCATGAGTGCTTTCAAATTACTGTCTGTACAGTGTCTCCAAGTGAAAGTTAAATGAGGTTAAGTAATATATTGACGGCCCTCCAGACAGATACACTATCCTTGTCTAGTTCTTTGTGCATACTAATGTTCAAGTGAACTTTGTTCTTCCTGACCAATCCACCTTTTTGTGTTACAGGCTCCCCGTATTATGACAACGTCAGGCCGCTTTCGTATCCAGACTCCGATGCCGTCATCATATGCTTTGACATCAGCCGACCAGAGACCCTGGACAGCGTCCTAAAGAAGGTGAACATTTTCCCAATCTGTAATAACTGATTCAACACACTTAAACAAGTAAAACTAATTCTTTGATTAACATCCACTGTTGTTCCTGGAATAATAGTCCTATCAAACAATCAGATGTTAGGATTGGAGTTGGGGTCTTGAAGAACATCTCTATCAACCAAGTAGATTTATGACTGGGGTTGGGGTTTTGAAGAACATTCCATCAACCAATCAGATTATCGGACTGGGATTGGAGTCTTGAACAACATTCCCATCAACCAATCCAAAACAGGGCTCCAAAATGACCTGAGAATCTTGATTGGAGATACCTTCATGTTACAGTTTTTGATGATGGAAATGTTTTAAAAATGTCTAAACAGCTAAAGTCTGTGGCAGAATATGGGTGTGGTGCACTAAATTTTGGGAGTTTCTTGGATATCAAACTGTAGGCTTGACCTCTCTGGTTCCTGACAGTCTAATTGTCTTTTAAATGCCTTGCCTGTAATTCAGAGAAATACTTCTACAAATCCTTTGTGATCTGCCCACTCTTTGTTGCATCCCAATAAAGTCGTCCTTTGTTCAGTAGGGTTGGATATCTTCTTGTAGACTTTCAGTCTGGGGTCAGGTGTCTGGAATGGCCTGTGGCTCCGTTTCACTCAGTTAGGGTGGGCCCCTGGTTTGATAGTATTATGCTGGCATTAACTAGACCATGTGAGTGGAAGTTCAGCCGGGTGGTTTGTCTTAAAACGGTTCAGATCTAGGTCACAGAATCGGAAATACGGTCAGGCTACACGTGGGTACCTAGTGGAATAAGCTAGTGTAGTCTACCGGGACTTTGAGGCCTCTGTGAGCCAGAAGTGAGCACAGAAAGATCATGGGAATGAGGGAATGTAGTGTGTCTGTGTTCTTGTGTGAACAATCGTATGACTGTGTTGTACCTGCCTTTCTCCCGCCAGATTAAATCCGGTGATTTAATGCCACACCGACACATAAAATGCTTTGTTTGGGAAGGACAGGAATGCAGATCACCTGTAGCATTGTTGGGAAGATGCACACACCCTGAAAAGCAGTCATTACAGTGCAAGCTTTATCCTAGCAGGAAGCATGTCCCTTACCTGTAGCAAGGAAGAGTAATACTTTTGTGCTCGTGAAAAAAACAAAAAAGGGATGGGATGGAATATGATATGCTTAGAGAACTGGAACAGGAAACACTTGTTCTTGTCTTTTGTCCTCTCTCAGACAGTGATGGATCAAGGCCAATTGGTTTCATCTTTCCCTTTTGGTTTTGTCTCTTTCTCTCACAGTGGACAGGGGAGATCCAGGAATTTTGTCCCAACACAAAGATGCTGCTCGTCGGATGCAAGTCAGACCTTAGAACGGACCTCACGACTTTAGTGGAGCTGTCCAATCACAGACAGACACCAGTGTCATATGATCAGGTGAGCGGTTTTCAAAAACTGCTTTTGAAATTTGGTTGGATGCCAGTGAGACACTCAACTTTGGCTTGATATCTAACACCCATCTTATTACTTTACCAGTAATTACATTTATCGGCAAGGGCAGTTTGGCAACATTGCAATGGTTTAGGTTACTAATTTAATCCTTGCATTAAATGTCTGAGTGATAAAGAGCGAAATCTTCCTGAGCACAAAGCTAAACTTAATTATGATGAAATTGCAAGTGGTAATCGTAACACTTAAACCGCAAATCGTGATTTTAATGCTAATTGTTGGTTTTGTTTCATATCAAAACTCATTATCCTCTCTTTCTCTTTTAGGGTTCAGCTATGGCTAAGCAGATATCCGCACCTTACATCGAATGCTCCGCAGTGCAGTCAGAAAACAGCGTGCGGGACATTTTCCATGTGGCAACATTGGCTTGTGTAAATAAGAACAACAAAAACATCAAGCGAAACAAATCGTCACGCTCCACCAAACGCATCTCGCATATGCCCAGTCGACCAGACCTAGCTGCCGTCGCAACAGACCTACGCAAAGACAAAGCAAAGAGTTGCACAGTAATGTAATGCAAGGCGTTCAGGGGGAAAGATTCATTCTGGGAAACGGTGAGGGTGGACTGTGGAAGCAAGAAAGGTCTGGAATTGCCTCCAAAGACAAAGCAAAAGTGGAGAGCGGGAATGTTTGCTCGATGTCCCTGAAGGTCTCTCCAGTTTGAGGGTTCCAATTCTTTTTGCCAGAACTTGACAAGCTTGTGGACGTAAACCCATATTATGGCCCCAACCACCTCTCCTAAACTTATCCACTCAGCAGGAGGATGTCACCACCCTCTCGGCCAATGGGAGGTCTTCCTTCCTGCTCCTGGACGTGAAGCTGTTTCCTCTCTGGAGGACTCCTTCTGGAAGCTTCTCCTGCAGGAAAGGAAGGAGGAAGTAGAATCACATAACCATTGAGTCCAGAGTTCCGCTGAGCTTTGGCTCGCAGTTATTTTTAAAAGATGCACGTTTCAGTTGGTATTAACTGTCGCACGGTGGAACAGCGAAGGGGAAGATGACTTCCAAAATGTTGAAATTTCGGATAAAGACAACTCTCGCTTCTTTCTTTTCGAGTCTGTAAAGCTAAATGAGGATATGAAACGAGAGTGTATCACTGTGGCTATGGATCACTTCCTCCTTCGATCCTCCTCGGTCTGTTTTGTTCTTTCTGTAGACCAAGAGCACGAGTTTGTGTGTGTGCGTGGTTTTCGTTTTCTTATGCTAAGCTCAGCTAAAACTGTCACCATGGATACGCCGCTGGTATATTTAAACTCGCACCGTTTTCTGTAGAACTCCTCATAATCACATTACGGTTCATTAGGATTCAGAAAAAGAAAAACCAAAGAACTGGAAGGTTTTCAAGTCGGATGACTCAATGTTTGAATTTCTGAAGTGCATGATGGATGTGTATTTGAGGGCTTTTGGTGGATCAATGAGAATTTCTTTCACGGTTCTGTAAAAACATGGTTCCGCTTGTCTTTATAGACCAGGTATATGGAAGTGCAAATACGACCTTTGAGAATTGACCTGATCATTTAGTATTCATTTGCATTCGGTTTATCCCTGAAGGGGCATTCACACTGACAGCCATTTGCAGTGACAAAGCATCTGGAAGTCATTCATTTGCATTGAGGGTTGGTGATTTGAGGCCAGACTGCTTAGAGTTCAACTTTATGCAAATCTGGAACAATACTTAGGGTGGGACTCTTTTAAAAAAAAAATTAAAAAAAACATGCAAGATGCAACATAATGGCCAAAGATGTCTTGCTGTAGCAGTATCAGGCTAATAGCTAAAGCACAGTACACTGTTAGCGTGCTAATTTAAGCACTACTGCTAAAATATCATGAATGTAACATATTTCAGAAAAAATTTGTTTTTAGCTAAACTAGATAAACTTACTAAACAACCAGTAAATTTTTGGACAACTGATAATCAAAACCAATAGTATAATGAGTCGGTGACATGCAGCGATTTTAATTTCTGTCAGTGTGAATGCTGCATAAGAATAACATCACTATTGCCGTAACAAATAATTGTTTAACACTATTAAAATAGCACAAACTATAGCTTTTCATTGTAAATCGTCTTTATCAGTAAAATGTTACATGAACATTTGTGCCTTTTCTGACATCTGTGAAATTTTGTTTAAGCACAATTGTTGAAATAATAAATAAACAATCAAATTACAAGGTCACATTAAATCTGCACTTCTGTCTGCCCAGTCCAGGGAAAAAAAAAAAAAAAGAAAAAAAAAAAGGTTTTCAAAAAACATTCTCTCCTCTCTATACTAAACTATGCAGTCTGCTTCTGAACACATGCGAGAGGATTGAGATAAATGACTAATGCACATTCTTTCTCTTTCAAAACAAAAAAACATTTGTTGCGACTCAGTATATTGCCTTGCAGAGCCGTGGGGAAAGAAATGCGTCTCACTTTTGTAGTGCTAAAAGTTTCTCAAAACAAAATCTTCAGAAGTTTGAAGCTAGCTGCAAAGTCTCTTTTGCTGCATGTTTGTAGTTGCACTTTTCGTTAAAACTTGCGCAAAACAAACAAAATCGGTCTTTTTTACATTCGTTTTTATTGTTTTTAATGGGTCAGAGAGAATTTCCTCGACTGTGTCACAAAATTTGTTTTCACATAGGCAGTATTAAACAGTTTTGGTGTGTGTAAATGTTGAGAAATGTGTAGGTGCTGTTAAAAAACAAAAACAAAATGTTTCCTAATGTAGGATGTCTGTAATTTTTTAATGCCTTCTGTGTGTTGAAGTCCATGTCTGTTTTTGTTGATGTTGCCATAATATTTATTGAATTATATATTTTTTCCCTTAAAAATAAATGAAAAAATAAAATGAAAATGGATCTTTTTGATATGAAATCTTTTCCTCTTTTCCATTTGCATATTTTTTTTAATTACATTTTTAGAAATATATGATATTCATAAAGCCAGCAGATATATTTCATGCAGTTGAGATTCATCGTCTCATTCCTAATGACTCATTCCTTATTACATTCCGAGTATGTGTGACTTTGCCTTGGGCGTCGGATCTCTTCCTGTGTGTTCCTCAAATTCATTCACGCGGTTTCGGGTCACTTCCCCCTGCGGAAGGATGTGACCTTCAGATGACCTTCACCCGGCCCTTTCCGGAGCCTCCATTCATAAACCCCACAGGCCTACAGCTCAGAGCTGTCTGGCTTCATTTGACTCATTTTGAGCCAATATATGGCCATGATTTCACTCATCTTATTTTTGTATTGCGTATGTCACACTGATGCAAAGAGGAGTGCTTTACCTTGTTCTTTATGCATTTATGCAATTTAAAGCATTCAGTGTGGCTTTCAAATATGGCATCAAATAGACTATATGCGAACACTATTCAACTGAATATGAAAGCTGGGGTTCATGTATAGAGATACCACATCGACAAGCTTCAGTCAAGGCCGGAATCCTAGCCGTCATCTTGTCTTCGTGTGAATGCAGACTAAACACACACTTTTTTACTGTCAAGAGCATCGGGATATTTTCGCTTCTGACAGACAGATATGGCAGAGATAAATCCAGACAATTACAAACACACACTGTGGCCCTGATTAATTGTGCGAGTTGTGAAAGTGCTCTGCTGTTACGCTGAGACAACGCAGAGTGAAAGTGATTCATTGCAGCAGCGTCTGACTGGAACACACATTAATAGTGTTTCCTTTACGCATGATAGCTCATATATCACACGCAGAAACATGGAATAAATTCACACAAAACATTATGAATGATAACACAGGCCTGTCAGCTGGCTGTTTATGTGCTATAAACTAAAAAATGTTGTTTTCAAAAAAACAAAAAACAATGACAGTTGTAGTGAAAATCTCATACAATATAGTACTAAGGCAGGGAACTGTGACGGTATAAGATTTACTTTTAATACCTTTACACAGTACTGTAAAATCTGCTAGATTAAATTTCTACATATTTTTAACGTTGCTATTTATAATAAAAAATTGTACTTATATTTAAATGAAAATTATATTTTGTTTAAAAATCATATAATTAACCTATAATATCATATTTTGCACATTTTTTAATTATATATTACTTTATTTTTTATAATTTTATATACACAAAATTGTCATTTTAACGTGATTATATAATTTAATTTGTTATTGTCAAAAGTAAACATTTTCGTTAATTGAAATAAAGCTGAAATAAAATATAAATATTATAAGAAAAACTTTAACTTAAAAACCTTGTAAATTAGATTTTTTTCCTTGACAACTAACTGAAATAAAATAAGTTTAAGTCAAACTAAAATGACTTGAACCAAGGGCTTCATGCACTCATGATTTTTGAGGGGGCAGGCACGCACAAAGCTGGTCATGCTTTGTCACACAGCAGCCACGATAGCACTGTATAACTGATATAGGCTTGTGTTTTTTCTTTTCTTTTCTTGTACGCGCATCTGCACTTTGTCGTTTTTGGTGAGAGAATACGCCAGAGAATTCAGTCAGCGAGCGAGTGAACAAAACACCGCGTTTCAGCGATGACTCATCTGAACGTCTCTGATTGGCCATTGCACTCACAAGCTCAACAGAATCGTGTGGGATTGGTTATAACAGCGCTGTACAAACGCGTCTGTCTCTGGCACAGCGCCAGCCAGCAAACGCAGATTTGAATTTAGCAGCTGATGCTGTGCCGCACTGAACGATCTAATCACACTGGTGCGATTGCATCAAATATAAAAAATATTATTCGGCTATTTTTTGTCTTTTGGAAGCTGCATTCAAAATCCACTTGGCTCAGAAATCTGAGGGAAAAACCTCACTTTGAATGGGCATGACGCCTCTGACTAGAATTAAAACTGAAATAAAAATAAATGTAAGGCTAACTAGAAATATAATATATCATAAAATGATAACAGCACATAAAATTACTAAAACTGAAATAAAAATATAAAAATAAAAGATAATTCAAAATATTAATAAATACTATAATAGTATTATATAAATAATACTAAAGTAATAGTTGAATTTATTATATTTTTATATAATTTTTGTTAAACTATTTAAAAAAATATTAAATTTTTATTTTTTTTTTGTATATACCACGGTACTATACTGCACATACCATGAGTACCATGGTACATGTCCAGATTACACTGTAATACCATGGTACTTTTTCCAAGTGCTTGAATGATTACCATATTCATGTACTATGGTATTAATATATTCCCAGAAATTTCAAGGAATCTAATGATATTACCAAGCTACAAGTCCAAACAAACAGGGTATTTCCATGGTACATGTACAAATAATCATGAGACTACCATGTCTGAAAAACCACAATATTACCATGGTACTGTTAAGTGGTGTTCGCACAGGCAAAAAATCATGCCAAAATCACTAAGAACACCTTAGAACACATCAAATGTCTTCAGAAAATCCAATCTAGTTCTACAGTAGATACTACATTATAACTTTACACACTTTAACATCAGAAAGTTACACAAATTTTAGAGTTGTAGCTCTGGTGGGTGTTTTCTGGTTGACCGGACGCTCTAATGTGTGAACACGCGGCTGCAGTCAGGGGAAATGTCAGAGACGGCGAACAAGGCAGATTCGATAACAAGAACCGTCGATGTGTTGTGTCTGGTCTGGGTTTTTGTTTTCTAACACCTCCGAATGTTTGACATATTGAAACGAATGGCTGCCGGGTTTTAATAGCGTGTGTGCTCAGGTACCCGTAAAAGTCACCGCCATTGTTCTCACATTTTGCATTAATCGACCAAGATTACTATACATGACAAATGAAATGTCAAGCAATATGTAGCATTCAAAACATCTCCGGATGAATTGCATTTCACTCCTGGGTGAATCCGGAAACTCAAAACCATTTAGCACTTTAGGATTCCAGCAAAAAAATCAATATGTTCGGGTCTGAACCTCTTTGCACGTGTTTTATTGCTTTTGTGGGGTTAAAGGTCACGCGTGTGTGTGTCTCAGACAGGATAAAATGTCATATTGGGTTCATATTGAAATATAGTTGTTTGTACAGTTATTCTGAGACACATATGCGGTAACTTCTATAGAGACGGTTGTGTGAATTCACACAAAATCAATATGTTCGGGTCTGAACCTCTTTGCACGTGTTTTATTGTTTTTGTGGGGTTAAAGGTCACGCGTGTGTGTGTCTCAGACAGGATAAAGTGTCATATTGGGTTCATATTGAAATATAGTTGTTTGTACAGTTATTCTGAGACACGTATGCGGTAACTTCTATAGAGACGGTTGTGTGAATTCACACGCATCGCTTTAACACCTGTCAGACAGGGAGGAAATTAAATCATGTCCCACTGCTGGAAACACAAACACCCAAATGCACATACAGCGCTGATAAGACAGGCACTAATTGAAATTCCATTCTTAATGGCCCCTAAGTGCAGATCAGCAACAGGCCGCACGGGTGATTGACTTTTATTGTGCTTTTGGTGTCTGTCTTGACCCGCCTAACCATGATGCCTTGGGGTAAAGAGGCTAGCAAGACTTCCATGAAATAGCTCAATTCGTCATCTCCAGAAGCTGCTGTTACATGAGTTTTAACGCAATATGTTTCGTTCGGACATTTCTATCATGTTTTGTTGTGGATTTGTTTGCTTGGAGACAAAATTGTTTATGAGAACACTTGCATTCAATGTGGTGCTCAAATCAAACAAAGTATTAAAATATTTAAAAATCTGAGAGAGCAGGTAGAACAGATAATATATATATATATATTGCCAATTACTAAACATTAATTTATTGTTTCAAAATAAAACCACAACAACAACGGAAATCTAAAACTGATTGTCATTCATCGCAGTGGCTCAAATCTTCACTAAAAAGATTGGTGAGTTAATGTAATAGCAACATTTTATCTGACAATTCACATATTCAATTCTGAATATTCTTTTTTTTTCAGAATTGCATGATTTAACCTCAGAATTACGATATAAACACAATTATGAGAAAAAAATTTGAATTGCAAGATAATTCTGAGAAGAAAGGTTTTTTTTGTTAGTCATAAATACTCGCAATTCTGAGAAAAAAAGATTAATTGTGAGATAAAAAGTCGCAATTACCTTTTCGATATATATTTTTTTTAATTCCTTTGCGGAAACAAATTTGTCACAATTCTGACCTTTTCTTGTAATTGCAAGTTTATTTCTAACAATTCTGAGTTTATATCTCAGAATTGAGAGAGAAAAAGTCTGAATTGTAAGATAAACCCTTACGAAAATGAACCATGGCTTTACTACAAAAAAACAAAAAACAAAACATGGTTACTATAGTTAAACCATGGTAATCACAAATTAACCACTGTATTGCTACACTAATAATAGTTTAACCATGAAATTTGTAGTAAAACTGTGGTTTTACAAATAGTAATCAATACACCAAAAAACATAGTTAGTACAGTTTTACTGTAATAAAACCATGGTTAATTTTCGTGAGGGAAAACTCGAAGAAAAAAATTGCGAGGAAAAAAGGTCTGAAATGTGAGATATAGGCTAGACACATAACTGCTAGAAGGAAAGTCAAAAATTTAAGATAAAAATGTACCTTTTTTATTTTTTTTTTTCATTCAGATTCAAGAGACAGCCTTGGTCAACCAAAACATCAAACATGTCATTTTCCAATCACAGCAAAGAGGAAGTAGCCATACAGTACATCCAACCAATGAAAACGCTCCCTCAAAGCCCGCGCTCGAATGCTATTGGTCGTGTCTCCAAACACTTCATAGTCAATCAAAATATGACCCGCAAGTTTGATGCGTTCACTCAAAAGATTCATAA